TATTCCAAAGTGTCCCACTTCAAATTAAGAACTATAGACCTATTTCCTTGCTAAACTCAGACTGTAAGATATTTGCTTCAATATTAGCAGAAAGACACAAAAAATATTTAAATAACTTTATTCACCCTGATCAAAATGGGTTTCTGCAAAAGAGACAAATTAAAGACAATATGAAAGTAATTCTGGACACTTTGGAATATTATGAGGCACATCCTGAAAAACAAATGGCATTGATGTTCTTAGATGCACAGAAAGCCTTTGACAATGTGAACTGGCGATTTATGTTGCTACAGCTGGAACGGATAGGCTTTGGTAAGAAATTCACCCAAACCATACAAACTATATAATACAAACAAACAGCAAAGATAATGATAAATAGAGAACTGAGAGACTCCATTGAAATAAAGAAAGGGACAAGACAAGGTTGTCCACTATTGCCTCTGTAGTTCGCTTTAATATTAGAAGTCCTAAATAGAAACATTAGAGAAGAAAAAAACATAAAAGGAGTGAAAATTAAAAAGGAAGAATATAAATTGCAGGCATTTGCAGATGACCTGGTCTTCATATTAGGGGATCTACTAGAAACTGCACCAAAATTGATAGAAAAAAATGAGGAATATGGAAAAGTAGCAGGTTTAAAAATAAATAAAGACAAAATGAAGATTTTGACAAAGAGCATGTTATTAAGACAAAAGATACAATAGGCGGAAGCTTTGAAGATCCAAGTCACGAATAAGGTCTATATATTTGACAGCAAGATGTAGTACATGTAAAGAGAACAATTACCATAAACTCAAACAACAGATTGCAACAGATTTGGCAAAATGGAAAAATTTACAACTATCAATATTAGGGAGAATATCAACAATCCAGATGAACATACTACCCAGGATTTTATATTTGTTCCAGACAATTCCAATTAGATTAGGGAAAGATTACTTTGATGATTTAAACAATATAGTGTTGAAGTATATTTGGCAGGGAAAAAAGCTAGAATAAAATTAAAATTGTTGCAAGATGCTAGAACAAGAGGAGGATTTGGTCTACCTAACTGGGAATTATATTATCAGGTAACAAATTTGATGTGGGTTAAGGAATGGATAACATTAAGAAATTCTAGACTACTGACTGTAGAAGGACATGGTTTGCTGTTGGGATGGCACACTTTGTTATGGTACAAGGGAACTAAAATACATGGGTATTTTAGAAGAAATTATATACGTGAGGCTTTGCTATTAAATTGGAAAAGATTAAAAGGCAGCATTATCTAAAAAATTCCAGTCTGGTTACCAACTATTGAAGCATTTTCATATCCAATAACATACAAAAACTAACAAACAGATATGGTGAAATACTGAATACAAAGGGTGAACTTAAATCTATGCAAGAACTGGAACAGCAAGGTATAAAGATGAACTGGTTTTCATACGCGCAAATACATTCTAGATATGATAAAGATCTTAAAATGGAAGGTTTCTATGATAAAATGACTGATAAAATTTTGATAGGTACTGATGAAAAGGTGATTAAAAAACTGTATGGATACTTACTAGAGGTTAAGTTAGAAGAACAAGTTAAAGAATCTATGATTGCTTGTGGGGGNCCTGGTGAGATTCGATCTGCCAAACTGCAGAAATAGCCTGCAATACTGCACTCTAAACTACTGCGCCACCGCGGCTCTTAGTATTGGACCCAGCAGCAATTATTCATGAAACTCTAAGCTTTCTTTTTAAAAAAACGCATACATTTGACTTCACTTCTCCCATCAGAAATTTCTTTTTGTCTGGAGGAGTGAAGAAATGTAAATATAACCTTTTCTATCCAGTAATAAAATCATATCAATTTTCCTTGCAGGTAATTTTCTAGCATATATTTCTGATTGCAAGAGAGAATCACTTTCTAAGATTCCTTACTTGCCTTTTTCTTCATCTAATCAGAGCAGTTTAAGTAAGGTTGAAAATTCCTCAAGCAGTTTTCAAATGATTTATTACTCTAATAATAATAACTGAAAAATCTGAGCAGTAATACTAAATCCCAAAACTTTATATTGACCAAGGAGTATTTAAATACTCATTTGGCTTGCTGATTGGAAAAGCACCCCTTCTTGGAAATTATTTAATGCTTAAAAATTTAAGTTAGATTAGAACCTGCTAATTCCATGAGGATTTGATAATGCCAAAAAGGTCAATTTTCTACTTTGATGCTTCAAATTAAGAAAATAGAAGTATACAGAAAACATGAATTTAAAAGATATTTTTTCTAAAAAAACCCAGATATATGACAAATAGGAATATGATACATGGCAATAAAACTGGAGCACCTGATTTTTATGACATACTTTCAAAGGCAAAGTACGGAAAACCCACTTAGTAGATTAATGTTTTTCACAAAGACATTTGGCTTGCAGCAGTTTGTGCTTATGATTAGTCTTTATCTATGCTCTGAATTAAACTTATCCAAAACATGTAATGTTATGCTCAATGAAAGCTTTAGCTCAAGAAGGAAAAACAAATAGTTTCAAGATATTCTTATATTTATTTGTTCAATTTTTATTTATTAAACTCAATCTAGTTCTTATATCTTTCTGAGGTAATTTCACCTGAAGCTGCAATATTGATTTCTCCATTTTAACAAGATCAAGCTCCTAATTAGAAACACACCAGTAATTTGTTCTAATACAATAATTAAAAAATATCACAATTAAAAAATTTATTAATTAAAAAATTCAAAAGTACTAATTGAAGTATTGCAAGCTTTCTGAATTACAAACTAAACTCAGCAAGTTCAACATATTGATTCATGTTTAAACACTTTACTTACTTATCTAACACATGTGGATCTTCAGGACTTTTATTTTCATACTGTAAAAGCTCAAGAAAGCTCTGCATATACCTGAAACATAGAAAAATAAGGTATTTGATATTTGCACATTAAATATGTGGACACCAACATGGAGGGAAATTGCTAACACTCTAGCAGGTAGACTCAAGATTTAGAAGAGTCTTGACAGACTTGAACATTGGATTCTATCCAACAAGATATAGTTCAGCAATGAGAATGGTCCTGCACTTAGGAAGGAAAATTCAAATGCACAGGTATAGGTCAGTGATGGCTAACCTTTTTCCCATTGCGTGCCAAAAGCAGGGGGAGCGCAGGGAGGTCATGTGCAATGTTCCCTCTATTTTTCTTTTCAGTGTGNATAGAGAATTGAAATATTTGATTGTAAATGTGTTAACAGCAGCTAGAATTGTATTTGCAAAAAATTGGAAAAATGAGAAAATACCAACGCAGGCGGAAGCTATTCACAAAATAATAGAATGTGCTGAAATGTCTAAATTGACATTTGAAATTAGAGAACAGGAAGATAAACAATTTTATAAGATATGGGATTTATTTTATCAGTGGTTAGACAAAAAAACATGGGAATGAAAAACACTAGAGAATTTTATAAATACAAGAATAATAGAATGATACAGAATATAATATAAAGATATATTATTATTGGATAGATTTAAGATGATGTAATGTATTGTTATAATACAAATGAATTCAATACTAGAATATCTCGTTTAAAATGAAGGAATAATAGTGAGTCAAATAAATGATGTACAATAATAATAATGTATGCAAATATATTTGATTTGATAATATGAGATTTCATATAAATTGTAAGTGATGACTATGGAAAGGATGCACAAAAACCATGTAACCAATTGACACACTGTATGTAATTGAAGATGGCTTTATGTTTTAGGTTTTGTTTGTCTATGTCTGTCTAAAAACAAAAACTTTCTTTAAAAAAAAAAAAAAGGAGATGCTTCTCCATTATGGCCCTCATGCCCTAGTGTAGTCTTCTACTGAAAATCAGACTTGCCCTAAAGTACTGACATTCCGGAAGAGGCTAAAATAGTTCATTCTCTTCCAGAGGGCTTTTTAAAATTTAGTTAAGATAGCACTGTGGGAACTGATCACATAGTGTTCTGATTTTACTTAATTGATAAATGAATCTTGGCATTAATGCCTATTGGCATTAATTCTGACAGTGTATTCAGGAACTGTTGATCTATTCAAACAAGAATGCTTCTACTAAAAGTCCCCAAAGTATATCTTGCAATCCGCAGGTCGATTTGTTAATAATTATATCTCTGCAACTTTTAAAGAATTGAAATCAACAATCCAGATTAGATATTAGTGGAACTCAGCTATTTATTTATAAGGAATTAAAATCTTATTATGAGATTAATATTCAACTCTTAATGCTCTAATACAAGTAGAATTAGATTGATTTTCTCTTGAGTCCAATTAAATTTTTGCTGCCTTAAGATTTTGACTGAAACAAGTGTACTGGAAAACTTCCTTAATCCATCTCACTTTGCTAGATAGGTTCTTTTCCACCTTAAGCAGAGATGGTGATTATTTGGCATACTTAACTTGTCAACACTAATTGTTTTGGAACTTAATAAAGCCATAACTGAATTGAAGCAGATGATTTGGGTTTTGGATATCCAATGATAGAGCCAATGTTCTTCTTTTATGACATGCTTGCACACCTGTTTCCTTAGACTATCCCTAATTATTTCTTCAGCATTTTATATGTTCTTCATATAATTAGCCTAGTATGAATAAGGGCACTGCCTACAGCTAGTCCTTGTCTTACAATCACAATAGAGCCTGGAATTTTGGATGTAAGCTGTTGCAGTTATTAAGCAGATCACCATGTGACATGACATGATTTTGCATCCATTTTACAATGGTTGTTAAGCAAGTCACTTTGGCTGTTAAGTGAATCATATCATTGTTAAATGAAGAAAAAAAAGCAAACAGCCCCACTCACCCCATTGCAAATCATGATCATGTGACCACAGGATACTGCAACTGGTCATAAATGTGAGCCTGCTGTCAAGTACCTGAAATGCAATCCCATGAGTGTGGGAGTGATGGTGCAGCAATAGCAACTTCAAGGAGAGATCATAAATACACAGTACACAGACTTTTTTGAAGTCTGTTGTAACTTCAAACAGTCATTAAGTTACCAGTTGTTAAGCAAGGAATAACTTATTAGGGCAACAAATGGTAGATACATATGTCTGTCCCATGAAAATAATAGGGATACTGCGACAGGCAGAATTCTGAGGACCATTCATAAGTCCCCTTGTTCAGTGCTGCCATACATTTGAACAGTAACTGAAAAAGTACCAGTAGCCATAACCTGAGATGCCCTGTAACATACCGTCAATAAGCAAGATAATAAAAGCATAACGTTATTACTCTGATCAAAAATAGAACTTCAACCCAAGTCTGCCATCCATATCAAAGCACGAAAGGAATAGAACATTCTTAATCAACTTACAAAATATGGATCAAATGGATATCTCATAGAAATGGTTCCATAAGATGTGGGCTGTTAATAAAGAGGCAGTCTCCTACTTTCATCATGGGATAAATGGGACCTTAGGATAAATACACAGAACAGGCAAAAACCGTACAGGATAGATTAGCATGTAAACTCAGAGCTGCTATCTTGTGTGTTGGCCATCATAGAAAGCCAGACAAATATCAGGTTTGAAAGGTTTTCTTGCTGTTTTGTAAACTTTCTAATAATAGCGGAGCTTTCAATGAATAATTAGCTACAGAGCACTTAAGACTTAAAACACGGGTGTAGAACTCAATCACATCATGGGCTGTATTGTGACATATCACTTTGCCTTTGCGGATCCGGGGTGGGCGTTGCCTGCATATGACACATCTGGCCCCTGGACCACCAGTTTTGACAGGCTTGATTTAGAAAATAGAAGTAGTCTGTATTTCTTTTTATAATATGGATTGTACAGCTATTGAGTTGAGTATAGTTTTATATATTAATACTGATATCTTCAGTTCTGGAACTGTAATAGCTAATACAATGATCAAAGCACAAGTGAAAAATAGCTATTAGTTAATAATCAAGGTGATATATTTTGCATCAATTGGAGTTTCCAGGTCATTTTGAAGGACAGGCCTATGTCAAGCATTTGCAGTAGCCTAAATGTGAACTGAAGACTCACTATCATGAGGGTATCCAAGTCCAGGAATGTTCACAACTGCCATGTATACCAGAAATGGGCAAAGGCACCTTAGGTTATGGCTTCCACAAATTGCTTAGCAGAGGCCATGACTCCAAGATGATCCCTGTGAATGAACTAAAATAATGCTCTTTTAGAAGTACAATCCCATCTAGTATTAACTTCAGGATTTGAATTCAATCAGATCAATTACCTAAAACAGAAACTATTTCTGGGATTTAATTTTAGCTTGTCAGGCTCTATTAACTGCTATATCAAATTTATTTAAAATTTACACAAAAGCTAGTAGTCACCAACCAGATGATTATGAATTTATCTATATGCTACTGAAACTGTCTGTTTCTAAGCTTCAATTTAGCAAAATAATGCATCACATAGCAACAGTTTTCCAATAAGATACTTCAAATAGGCTAATGTACTAGACAAGAATTTGGTGGTAAACTAGAATTATTTTGACACACAAAAAATTGTACTTCGATGTCTTACTGATTGAGGAATGATGAAATGTTTGTTTTAAAAGAAATAAAACTTTTGAACCTAAAAAAATATATATAGGCTAATGTAAATACTGTATCTGAAATTCAGGCTCCATCACTGCTGTGGGGCTGAAATTTGGCAAAATTGGTGGCAGCTTCAGGGCTGTTATGATCAGCCATAGTTATGTGATCATTTCTAATGCTTCCTGTCAGTTTCCCACAAGGAAAGTCAATGGAAGTTGGAAGTCCCAGGCCAAGTAGGCAGGTTAGATCAGTGTTTTTCAACCTTTTTTGTGCAAAGGCACACTTTTTTCATGAAAAAAAATCACAGGCACACCACCATTAGAAAATGTTAAAAAAATTTAACTCTGTGCCTATATTGACTATATATAAAGTAATTTTCCCACGGCACACCTTACACTATGTCACGGCACACTAGTGTGCCGCGGCACAGTGGTTGAAAAACACTGGGTTAGATGTATGATAGTACAAAGGAGGCACAGGGAGAGCTCATAAGTGGCAGGTAAGTAAATAGTTCTGAAAGGATGACCCAATGGATCATGTGTTACCTAGTATTCTCTAACAAATGAAAGAGCTGGGAATTTTTCTAAGTGCCTCATTTGACAACCGAGAATGTTTCTTACCAATTGTGATCATAAAACCAATAGGCAAGAGCAATAAACTGACATATATAATTTGTTCATTATTTATCATTCAGAAGGACTAGTGGCATTTGGATTCCAAAGCAAAAAGATAACTTTGAAGCACATAATGGATGCTTATGTAGCACTTATTTGCAACTCCTTGAAACAGCAGCTTCTTTTCCAAGTTTCCATGAAACTGCCCTTAGCACCAGCAAGCTATTCCAGGAAGTCAAAGAGTTGTAGACAGGTACTGCACACATTTTTGACTTTGAATCCTGCACAACCTTATCACTAAAGGGTTTTTTTTAAACTCAATGAAAATTAGGCTTCAATTCTGATCATGTGATATTTGTACACATATAATATAGTGAGTAGCTGCAGGCATTTACTAAATATCTATGCCATTCATTATTTTCAACTACTTCTGTTCCCCAGATTATTTCAGCAGCTGAAGTTTTTACTAATGTAAGCTTAGCTTTCAGAATTTTCTACTTTTTATATTGCAATAATCACAAATCAAATTGGGATGTATTGTACAACTGAAGATCATTTTTCAATCCAAGGACAAAGAATTCAACATAGGAACAACCTGGTTCCTGTTATAAAACGGGATCTGCTCTGGAAAAGATTTATGAATGATTATACTAATGTCTCTTTTGTCACACTTCTTTTGCAAATCAGAAAAAATGTGAGTTTTTAAATATATTTTA